AGCGACAAGGAATTTAAGGCCAACAAACAACGAACCAGACAACAGGCCCACACAGAGCTCGCCAATGCTTGGCAAACAAACATTATGAGCAAACAGAAAAACAAAGAACAAAGAAAATTATAAAGACAACAAAAAATGCAGCCAAAGAGATGGCAACAAATTAAGCCTGAAGACATTCTGCAAACTGTGGGAATATATTAAGGAAAGAACATGGCTGAGAAATATTTAATTTAGGACATCAAATATCCGAAGGGAAAACATCTTTGTTCTAAGAAACGATCAGTGCTAGAACATTAACAAGTTCGGGATGCATACAATATTTTAATTCAGGGTCTTACAATTTAATTGAAGAATCCAAACTAATTTGCACGGTGCTGGCAAAGCCTCCTTCTTTAGTGTGGTTTCGTTGCCAATTGGTAACAGACCAAACCGAAATGGAAAATACACTAACTATGGTTAGTGAGGCCGCAAGGGTGGGGCGACTTCCATCCAACATTTGCCAACCAAACTCCAAGTCTTGAAAGAATCTTGCCACACAGCGATGGCAGGTGGGTGGCTGGATGGATGGATGGATGGATGGGTGGGTGACTTCTTGGCATGGCTTATGCCCGCCCAACTTCTGTTAATGCCTAAATAAGTAGAAAATTCTGTCCCAACCCCCTGGTTCTGGTACTCAGGGGTCGCACACAAAAGTATCTAAGCGGCTGCCTCTTAGGAAATCTGTCAAATGTCAGTGGCAGCAGGGCGCGCGCGGCAACGTTGACGTTGGCTCATTAAAAAACGAACTTGTCCTTCGACTCCCATCCAAATCCACAGACGCCTGCCGCCTGCCGCTTGCCGCTTTAGGGGCTGTAGTTGACACCTGGCCAAAAGTTTTGCTCTCTGTCTCTGTCTGTGTCTGTGCCTCCTCGTGGCTCCTGGTTTGGCTTTAGCCTAGCACAAAATGGCGACTTGGGCTGCGACCATTTTGGGCTCTACTGTGCTGGGTGTTTATCACATTGCTGCTATTAATTAAGCTTAACGAGGTTACCGTTCGCAACCACACCCCTACCCTACCCAACTATGCATCCCAGAGATAAAGGAGGGGGCAAGGGCGAAGGCAGAGGGGAGACCTGACATCTTAGTGCGGCAAACTTCATAATGAAATTTTACCTTCATCTCATTAAAAGTCTTGAGTATTTGTTGGGCCGCCAAGAGCTAGTAAATTGATGCGTGTCCGTGGCAAAAGGGTTCCCAGCAACTCTCAACTCTCAATTCAGAACTGAGCCACGCCCAGTTCCGCCAAGAGCCAGAGACAGATCCCGAGACATGACCCCACAGAGTGGGCTGGCTGACTGACTGACTGACTGACTGACTGGTTTGCCTGTTGCCAACGCTGGGGAGCATATTTAATTTTTAATGAAGTTTAATGGAAGCCGGAAGCTTTAAAGAAAACTCAACTGAACAACTCACGAGCTCATGAACTGAGCAACTCAGGAACTAAGCAGATGCGAAGGCCACCAGGCCACCAGGCACCAGGCAACGGGCGAGTCGAAGCGAAGCAAAGCTCAGGGCGTGTCCGCCCTGAAAAATATGCTAAAACATTTACTTCAAGTTGTAGATTCTGGGATGCTTCAGCGGATATTACTGCTCCCTACTAATGTTGCTGCTGCAGCTGCTTGTGTTGCAGTTCTTTGGCTCATGCCTGCATAGCTGTGGTTGGGGTAGTTCCTTATTTTATTTCTAATTTAACAATTAATTCTACATTTTGATCTTATGCGTAACTCGATAAACAGTCCGTGATGCTGCTGGAGCAATTTGGCTAGAGTTTGTCATTACGGGTGGGTCAAACCTTAGAGAAAAAGTGAGAATTAATACAGGAGTGTGGATACAGCATTTGGTTGCCTTAGACAAAAATGGCTAAATGGGCTAGAATTCCATTTGTCGACACACAGCTCAAGGAAGTATTACAATCCAATTCCAATTCGAAGAACAAACAGCATACATTCGTACAAAAATGCAAGTAAATATCGACGGCAGAGTGTTCAACTGCACTTCTGATTCCACACAACTCTCCCTTGCCCTAGCCCATGCCGTGTGCAGTGTCTCCACTTGTTCAGGGGGTTTTGGGGGCTAAACTGAGCAATAAGCAGGCAATAATCACTTGCAGTTAATTAACATATTATGGCAAATGCAGCTGCAACTGCAGCATCAACAATTGCAACAAGAAGGCTTAGATGTTGCTGCTGCTGCTGCTGCTGCTGCTGGTGCTGGTGCTGATGCACTTTGGTAATGCACTTCAAAGTGCTTACACATCAATGCAATGGGCAGCCTCTCATTTACATGCATATAGCAAATACAGCAACAATAATTACATGTGCCGGATCCCGCCTCGTCCCACAGCCTTCGCCTGCTCCCACAACCCCCTTTAAGCAATCTCTTTCAGGCCCATACCGAATGCCGAATGCCCCATGCCCCATGCCCCCTGCTCCAATGGTGGCAGCATCCAAGTGATTGTAATTCATTAGTAGACAACAACCAAATGCATTTCCCATGTGCCTGCATCTGTATCTGTGTATCTGTGTATCTGCATCTGTATCTGTGTGTGGATTATGCAGTTTCCGCTTCAATGCAGCTGCAGTTGCAGTTCCACACTCCCACTGTTGCACGATTGTACGGTTGCACGGTGCACGATGCAGTGGTGCAATTGCAGCTGCTGATGCCGCCATTTTATCTAATTGCGTTGCCATCACTCCCACGCCCACTCCCAGTGCCACTCCCATTCCCTAGCTCTCCTCCAACGCCCTCTTTAATACGCATACGCCGCGTGGTCCATATCATTAAAATTACGAGTGCTGTGCACCAAAACAAAAAAAAACAAAAAAAAAGCCAAGGAACAGCGAGGGTGGGCCCAGAAGTTTACCAAAGGCAGTTACAAATTTCATAATAGATCAAAATCCTTTCAAGCAATGGAAAATATTCAATACCAAACGGAAAGTAACACCAGAAAATAATACACAGGCTTAGGGGGTTTTTCAAAGAGGTAAACACTGGTAGCAAGGCTCCTGCCATAACTTTCTATTAGGTACATATCTTTCCAGCTGTCCTCGTAGACCCTCATCTTTAAAGCTTCTTCTCTGATCGGCCCTCATAAATTGTGTTGCACAGCGCAGCGCCCTGGAGTGTCTGCAGCCTTGACAACTGCAAGTGGCATTAGTTGTAGCAGCCAGAGCAGAAACCGGAAACAGCAACAGCAACAGCAACAGCAACGGCCAGTGCCAATGGGCAACAATGAACAACAATTACAATTGCAGGCTTTGCATTACTTTTTCCCAGTACAAGGGATTTGCATTTGTTTGCTAATTGAAATTAAGCAAATAATGCAGAAGGAGGGCGGCATCCCCAAATAATAGAGATGTAGAGAAAGAGAGCACAAAATGGAGGGGGGCTTGACCCACGTAATCCTTTTGTAGCGCATTAAAACAAGAAGGGTCTCCAAAAATAGAAAAAAAAAAAAACAAGAAAATAAAATAGAAAGGGTTTGCCTCGCTGGGTTAAATAATTTAAATCCATTTGTAGAACATTTGATGCTGCCTTTTGGCAATTGTCACGCCGCCCTTTTATATATATACATATTTTTTTTTTTCCTTTTCGCTATTTTCTGTGTGTTTTTGAACCCCCCCAGATAATTAGTAAGGAAAAAGCAACGAAACCCAAAGAGAGATCCCCATAATCAAATGTTTAAAAAAAGATTTGCCAAAGTAAATCCCAAGGAATTATTTGCCACTTGAAACGTTTAAAAATGTCAAACAAGTTTCAGGGATAGATGGTCGGATGGTCGGATGGATGGATGCGAGGCAAAGTTGATGCTGTTGCTGATGAGGGTGCCCCAAAAAAAGACGACTGTGACCCTCCAGATTCCAAAAAGCAATCTCTCGCCTTTTGAGGGGTCAGACAAACTTAATGAGCAAATTGTCAAATGCCGCGGCAAAGCGAGCACTTAGACATGCCCGGGAACACCCTACCATCCCCCCGCCACGGTACAGTCTGCGGAAAAGAAAAATAACTTGGCGAAAGCGGAGACCCTGATAAAGTTGCGTACCAAGAGGAAAAAGTACAAAGTTGTCGCTGTTGTTAGCCATGTTTTGTTGGGGATTTGAATAAACAGTTACGCTGATTTAATTTGGCCAGCAACAAAAAAAAGTCTAAGAAAAAAAGAAGAAGGAAAACCGAAAAGCGAGAAAAATGAAGACATGGGGGGGGGGGCAGAATTCTATCACAGTATGTTGTCTGTCACCCTCGATTTGATTTTTAAATTGCGTTCGTGATAAATTGACGAAATGAACAGCAATAACGCCCCGAGAGCCCCCAGCAGCAACAGCAACAGCAACAGCCACACCAACCCCACTCCCAAACACGAAAAAAATCTCAAACAAAATTGACAACTGTCAAGACTGTCTGCCGCCGCCAATCCACAGAGGCATCGACGATCCGCCACTCCCCACCTCCAATAGACATATAAAAATTAACTACAGACTACTTATCTTATTTGTTGATGCCAGTGTCGAGTCATGAGCCGCAGTCGCAGTCGCAGACGCAGTCGGCCGAGGACATTGCAGGACAGCGAACAGGGAGAATATACATATATAAATGAAATGCGGAGGAATCCCCAGGCGCTCCAACAAAAAGTTTGTCAGCGGCTTTTGATGTGTCTCGCTCTCTTTTTATGAGAGAGTGTATGAGTGTGTGTGGGGGTGTGACAATATGCGTAGATAGCATGCGATGACAGGGCAGGAAGCAAGCAATCAACTCCAACTGATATTCTGAATGGTAATGACCAAAACCGAAGGAGGCACAAGCTAAAGAAAAGGGTCTTGAGGTGGCTAAAGACAGGTCACAAAATGTTGAAAGTTCCTATGACTCTTAATATCTTAGATCAAAGCAAAGTTACTTAAAGATTTCTATAGATTTCGCTATCGAGACTCTGAATAGGCCTTTTCTTGGTTTCCCTTATGACTCACCTCTTCCACTCCTGCCCACAAATCGCAGATCATTGAACTTTGCCACCTGATTCTTCATCACCGCCGTACAGTTGCGCAGCTCACCACAGAAATTCTCATCGTTGCCCGCCCGAATGGTGACTATTGTACCATCCATGACCTCGCCCAAGGCCAGCACCTTGAAGGCAATTGGCAGCGTTTTGTTTGATCGCCAGTGCGTGGGCAATGTGGTGCAGACCTAAATCAATAACATATTAATTAATTAGATCACATATTAATTAGCTTATTGCCACTTACCACATGGGGTGAGCCCGTCTTGACCAACTCGCCGGGATGTTCGGCGAGCAGGACGTCGACGGTTCGCTCAATGAGATTCTCTGGTGTCAGATATGGGCTTGTATCCACTGGTTTTGTCTTGGCATTGTTACTACTACTATTGTTGTTGTTGTTGGTGGTACTATTGTTGTTGTTGTTGTTGTTGTTGTTGTTATTATTGTTATTATTGGAGGATGACTCTGCATTGCGTCGCTTCGTGGTGCTGCCCGTTGTGGTCGCCGCTGTTGGAGTCGTTTGCTGTTGGTGTTGTTGCTGCTGTTGTTGTTGGTGCAACTGTTGGTGAAGCTGTTGGTGTTGCTGCTGCTGCTGCTGCTGTATTTGATTTGAGGTGGTCGAACTGACCTCAGCAGAAATGTGCATTATTGCAGCTGCTATAGTTGGTTCAAGGTATTCAGCTCTGCTCTGGTTTCAGCTTTGACTCCGTCCTTTCCGACTGTACACTGCTGCTGTTGTGCTCCACTCCTGCTGCTGTTCCTGATGGTTGTTGGTTTTTGGTTTGATTTCAATGTTGCCTCAAAGAGTCGACGCTTTCAATCCGATCATTGTCAGCTCATTTGGTCAATCTGGAAGATTAATGTGGATTTCGGATGAAATTCGCATGAAAAGCGATTCGTGTGGTCTGTTCTTTCAAAGGAAATTCACTGGAAATCAACTTTAAGAAAAATATATCTTTCATTATTATATTTTTGCCACTAAGATGTTATCCTGAGGGAACTATTTTTTTGGTTTTTGCTGGAACGAATTTAATTACCAAATAAAAATGTACTTCTCCAGCGACTAGCTCCATCAATAATATTGAGGAATAAAAATCAACATCAAAAGATCCTCAATCCCATTTTCACCATTGACAAACTTCACTCTTCATAAAAGTTTTGAAGAAACCTTCTTTCGGAACACGCTCAGTGAGAATATTCATTTTTTTTTCTCTGTAAAATCTTCTTTTGTTAATTTTCTTCTTTGTTTCCAGATTCGCTGCCCGCATAAGTATGCTGAACTATTCTTGTTTTTTTTTTTTGTGCTGTTCTGTTTATTCATTGACAGAAAATCAATTATTATTTCACTTTAAGCAGATCCAGAATCGGTGGCTGAAACTGTATCTCTGTATCTGCATCTGCAACTCCACCTGAATATGTCCAAAAGCGACAAGGACTGGAACGAAACCGATACCAAAAACCAAAAACCAAACCAAACCGAACCGAACCGCACACCTTTGCGCACAATTTGCATTTAAGCCGACATCGGCGGGAGCAGCTCAATTAAATATTAAAAAATCATAACCAATAATGATGAAGAGAGCTGAATGGGAGTAAAACAAAAAAAAAACCAAATGAGTGTGAGTCTGACGATGACGATGAAATGGAGTCAGCTGAGCCGTAGGCCATGGCATAAACTAAGATGTGGGACGGCATCTGTGCCGTGCCACATGCGAAACAAAAAAAAGTTCATTTCATGTTCGTCAAATGGGGAAAAAACAGAGAAAAATTATCGAAAGCGCCAGATGTTGCCAGCCTGTGTTTGGCCACCAAAAAATCAACAATGCTCTCTGTCCCCCATACGCACAGATCCCATACACTCCTCGTACACGTGGAGGTGGGGTGGTGGGCTCTTGTATAAATAAAAATCATTTGCAGTACCCAACCAGTCGCGTTTGGTTTTCGCTACGTTCTTTTTTAACAACTACTTTTCGGATTACCTCGTTTAAGGGTATTACAACTTTGCTCTGGCGTTTGTCAAGTGAAGATTGCAATTCGAAAATAAAGCTAAAATCTTTTATTTTGGAAAGTTTGTCAATGGCTTAATGCAAAAATAATGCATTTAAACGCTGCAAAAGTGTACATAAATGTATGCGCATATGTGAATTTGTTGCTGCCGATATATAAAAATATGAACAGTCTCTGCAGAATCAAAAGTGCTTCTAAATATTGTAAAGCTGTCATCGTTCATAACTACATTCAAGTGGGACTATTTTAAATGTTATTTGGTAGAAATCTTTGGTAGAAGTGGCTGGTGGGGAAATGATCGTTGAATGGCTTGTAATAAGGAAGGTGAAAACCAACGAGCAAGTTCTAATGGGGAAAACACTTCTTACTGCTTGTAATCCTGAAGTACTAGCTAGCATACATTTTCTTCTGGTGGGTAAATATATTTTGGACATATACAGAATTAGCTGCAATTCAAATAAATTGTATCAAAGATCACTTTATGGATCTACACACATATTTGTATGTAAATGGATCTGCAAGTGTATTTGAAACTTCGCACCATTACAAAGCAGACCTTTTCCTCGTGTTTTGTGTTGTAGAACCAAGTGTTGCCTGTCCATATGCTCACACACAGGCACACACATGTGCAATCTGTAGTTCATATGTATTCCCTTTTTTACAACTTCCGCTTTAAAATGTATAAAAATATGCATATTTACATACATATAAATATATTTATATGCATTTTTTCTGCAGCTGAATCCGGCCAAATGAGCTGGCCAAGCGACTATGTGGCGACATATGTGGCCACAGATACGAGAGACAATGGCAGCGGGCCGGGCCATTGGAGTGAAGGAGGGAGGGAGGACAGCAGCAGAAGGTGGTCTATATAATTGGTTAACAAACAAGTTGGTTGGCGGGGCTAGCCACACAATTAGATCAACAAATGCAAATGAACTTTTGTGGGGAAATAACTGAATTAGTCAGTCAGGTTAAAGCACAGAGACACAAAAATATAGTATAAATACGATAATATAAATAACTTAATATAAATAATTTTAAATTGCAACGAAACAATAGCCAAACAGCTTTCAATCAAAAAATATAAAAACTTTTAATGATATTAATATGAAACTGATTCTAGCTAAATCTTTCTAGAGTCAATCCATCAGGCGTGTACGCAGATCTTAAATCGGTTTTCAGAATGGTTAAAATGTACAAATAGTGCATGGCCTTTACGCTGTGCAAGATCCTGGCATAATTAGAGCGGTTTACCACTCTTTTCGTTTATAATGTCTCCGATGTTTCGGCATTTAAGTAGCGACAAGAAGAATAAATAATAACACCAAATAATAGAGCGTTCTCTGCGTTTAGTTCCGGTGATCCTTGGATTAAGACCAATCGAATGACATGTGATCGATATGAAAACTTGTAAGAAAGATACAATTACAAAACCAATCGTAATTTAAGCGACTAAAGAGCTGCGTATCCATCATTGATATTTGAACTTTAATTACATTTTCATGATATTCTTTCTAAATTTGCTCTCAATATATCAGTGTATATCCTATTATAATTATTGATGATCCCGCTGATTGCACACATACACGTTCACATTGATTCTAAGCTAAGATTTTAAGCTCTTGAATATTTCCCTTGATCTGCCCATTGAGAGATAACGAAGATCACACTTTTTGTTGTATTCGTTGCTCCAACTTACATTTTTGTTGTATATCTTTTGGATCTTTCACTTGTCCGCAGCACTTGTTAATGGCTTAGTTTGTGTTTTACTTTATAAAAATTCCTCTCTACAGATTTTTATGAGGTTTCCCCTTCGGCAGGGACACAAGAAACACTTGAAAAAAATGATTTAATTTTGTGGAACTTTTAAAATATCAATTTCCAGAAATAATTATGAGCTATGGGATTTATGAGAATTTACACGGCACACTAACACAGAAGACACTAGAACGCGGGCACACACACACACACACACGCGTCCACACACAGTGTGTGAGAGAGAGAGAGAGAGAGAGAGGAGCGAGCGAGAGCGGGAAATTGTGGCTGAGATTGAGACTCTGGATCTGAGGCTAAGGCTGAGAGACTGGCAACTCTGGCGATCGAATCAAACGACACGGAGATATTAAACTATTTTTTGCGGTAACCATGAACGCGACCACTACGAGCGGTTGGCAACGCCGACCACGGCGTCGCAGCGACGCCAGCAGCGCCAGTGGCAGTGGCAGAGGCAGAGAGCGACGACGCAGCAGCCAACGATGACGACGAGGACGAGGACGAGGACGAGGACGAACGAGCTGGGGGCTGAACGTTAGCGACGCCTCATCATAATCATGGACGAAGGGTATTGGGTCCGGGTCCTGGTCCTGGTCCTGGTCCAGCCACCCACTCCCGCTCCCACTCCAAAGCGCTGTTGCGACATTACCCCGCCCCCAAAACTGACTGGAGCAGCGGCCGCCGCCTTCGACTACTTCTTCGTTTATGTTTATTTTTTGTTGTTCCTCTTGGTCTTGCTCTTGCTCTTGCTCTTGGGGTATATAATTCTTTCTTTCGCTTTTGGCTTAACATTTACCGCGAGAACCAGTAGCAGTGGTTTCTCCAAGGCAGCGACGCTGGCGCAGAAGTCAGCTGCGCAGCCAGCGCTGGCAGCGAGGCAGTCGACGACGAGGGGGTGCAATGGAAAACCGAGAAAGAAGAGCTTGGGCTAAGGCAAACGAAAAACCGAAAACCAAAACCAGAAAACGTCAACTACACCACAAGCAGAAAGGCCGCAACGACATCTTCAAGTTGGTCCACCTCAGCATTCACCACACCACCCAGCCCCTCCCACCACAGACCCAGCAAGCAGCGAGCAGCAAACACTCACTCCACCATAGCCCAAGGAGGAAGCCCACCATAGAACTCAAGCTCAATTCGCGGCATAGAAAAATTGTGCTCAATTTTTTGGCGCACCTTTGGACCAAGCAACCAAGCAGCCAAGCACTGCGCCCAAAGACTGGAAAAAATCTTCGAGAATGAGAACAGACAGCGCTCCAGAGGGTGAGTCCTGTCTTGAGTTGAGTTTTCTGCTGCCATGGAAGGCGTTTCGGCGTGGTGAACTTTCTGTGTCTGTGTGAGGGGAGGTGGTCCCAGTCCCGGTCCCGGTCCCCCCTTTTTTTGTTGCTGCTTATGAATTTCCATTAGGATTTTTTCTTAGCTCGCTTGCTGCGAGCAACCCCCATAAGAATCTTGTCTTGGAATTGACTCAAGCAGTGCAAAAAAAATCTCAAACTGTGTCGCAAAGAAAAAAGAAATGAAGGCAAGAAAGAAAGGAAAGCAAGTGGAAGGCAAAGGCGAAACGAGACGAGTCGAGACGAGACGAAGCCAAGCCAAGCCAACGCGGCTTTGCGGCAAGCCTCTAGCTAACCAGGAAATGCTGGGACCAGGAAAGAGAGAGAGAGAGAGCCGAGCCGAGCCCCAGTGTGACAGAAAGAGAGCGTCGGTGTTGGGGCTGGCCGCACGGGAGCGAGTGAGAGAGATGAAATCTTGCGGCTGCCATTTGCGGCCAAGAAGACGCAGCAATATAGCCCCCGACCCCTCCAACCAGCAAACCGAACCCACACCTTTCCCTGTGCCCAACCTAACCTTGAGTGAAAAATTGCAACCACATGAGGGTGGGGCAGAGGCCAGCACCGTGGTGCCCATGCCCCTCTCAGGGCGGAGTTTCCTTTTCGGTTCTTGACATTTCTTTTCGGATTCGGGAATTGCTTGATTTTTATTTTTTTTTTTCTGCTCTGCTTCTTTCGGTCGCACAGCATATTAAGGATTCAACCCTCCTCCATTTTGCGGTTTTCTTCGCACCAC